TGACTACAACCAACATATTAAGACATGAAAAACAAATAGAAGGAATAAGGACTGAAATGTCAGGGAAAAGTTTATTTATAAATGATGGCTGTCTGTACAGAAAGCCCTAGAGAAGCTACACATTGTGAGAATAAAGTCTGACAAGACTGATGGATACAAGATGAATATCCAAAATAACTGCATTTCTATATACCAGCATAAAAGAGTTAGAAAACGAAATTTCAAATAGATATCATTTATCAGAGGAACAAAACCCTAAGACTCCTAAGAATAAATCTCACAAGAACTGTGTAAAAACTTTTAAGGAGAAAAGTGTCAAACTTTTTGGAAAGATGTTCAAGAAGACTGAAAGAAATAGATACACTGCTCATGAAAAGGGAGACTAAATTGATTCTCCCCCAAATTTATTTATAAACTCAGTGTAATTCTAATAAAAGTCCCAAGAGGGTTTTTCTTGGTATTTGACAAGCTAAATTTAAAAGTTATATGGAAAAGGAAAGGCTCAAGCACCATCAAAAAGATTAACAATGAGCAACAATGCATAGTAGGAGGTAGGGACTCATCTCAACAATATATCGAGATTTCTTATAAAGTCACAGTTATCGACTAATGTGGTACTGGCACAGAGAAAGATAAAGAGAACTAAAGCCTCCAAACAGGCCAACAGTCACATATATCGAAAGATGACATAAGACAGAGGTATCACTAAAGATCAGTGGGAAAGTGGCTCTATTCAATAAGTATTGCTGAAACAAATAGGTATTCATACAGAAAATAAATGAAAAAAAAAATTTGATCCCAATCTCAAGAGCTATACATAAAATTAATTCCAGATGGATTAAAGACTAAATATGGAAGAGGAATATCTTTATAACCTTGAGATAGACAAGCCTGCCAAACTAAGACACAAAAACAGCACTAAACAAACATAAAGAAAAAAAAAAAAAACCCTCTTAAATCTACTGTAAAACTAAAAATTAGATTAAAAAAAAAGACATTATAAAATTAAAAAGACAAGCCACAAAGTGGGAGAAGATATTTATCACATACATGGCCAAATACATTAGTAACTCCTAAGACAGTATCCTAGTACAAAAAACACGCAGAAGGCAAGAATAGGCACACAGGAAACAAAAATGGTGAACAAACATATGAAAAATGCTGACTTCTGGCCAACATGGCGGCTTAGTCAGACACACCACATCGCCCTCTACAGCAAAGACCTGAGAAACTAAGTGAAAAAAACACAGATGACAATCCTGGAACCCTGAGCATCAAAAGAAAGGATAAAGAACTAGATCAAACACTGACTGGAAGAAAAAACCGACTGAAAACAACGAACGAGAAGATGACGCGGAGAGGCCCTGCCAACTGGCCTAGCACAGTGCGGCCATCTTGAGACAAGGTCCCAATTACTGGCTGCAGCCAACGGGAAGAGCCCAGGCACCATCCCCGGTGAGAGCAGCACACTCCCCCACCCCTCCCCTCCTGGTGATTAGCGGCACAACCCCTCCCATCCCTACAGCCCCAACTACTGGGGAACAAGGTTCGACCCTCCCTCCGCTCCCCAGGCCCGGCTGCCACCCTATCCCCTGCACCAACAGCCACTTACGCAGCCCCTCTTGCCCACCCAGTTGAGCTCCCTCCCCACTCCTGGCAAGAGGCAGCAGCCACGTGGCCACACATGAACCTGAACCTGCGCGCTGCTCCTTTTCCCCTTCCCCCATCCAGCAAGAGGCGGAGTGACGATACCCATACCTGCCCACCACTTACCCCTCTTTACTACCTTCCACCTGGCGAGGGGGTGGTAACTGCACATGTGCAAACGCACATGCCTGTGCAACACCTGGCCCAGTGAGAGGTAGTGGCAGCACAGCCTCACATGCACCCGCCTACCGAACCTCCCCCCATCCGCTGTACGTCCCCCCAACCCCACAAAGCACGGTGAATGTGTCACTGCACGCACACCAGCCTGCCACTCACACTTCCCCACTATGTGAGGTGACAGAAGCACAACTGAGCGTGCACCCACCTGCCATTCACCACCCCCCCATCTGGCAGGAGGCAGTGACCATGCCCCCACTAGCCAGCCACATCTGCCACACCACCCACTCTGCGAGTGCCACTGCCTGCTCCTGCACCACTGGAGAGACAGCAGCCTACACCCACCCAACCCGCCCTCAGCCACCCCATAAGACCAGTGAAGAGAGACCTGCCCTCACATATCCAGCCAGACCCGCACTCTCACATACCCAGCCAGACCCACACTCACACACCCAGCCAGATCCGTGCTCACACACCCAGCCAGACCCATGCTCACACACCCAGCCACTACTCCACCCACCCAGAGACAAGTGGTGAGCATGCCAGTACCGCCAGACTAGCTACCAGAGCAGCACTCCG